AAAAAAAAAAAAAAAAAAAAGTACTTTGTTGGGTGTGTACTGTACACAAGAATTAGTTATCATGAATTTTAACTCATCTAAAAATGAAAATAATAAACTTTCAGGGTTTTTCGGGAAAATTTATTACCAAGTAATATGCAAAACAGCCAACCTCATCTCTTCTCTAATTCCTCTCACCCGAAGACCTTCAATACCCACCCACAATCTGGGGTAGGGGTCAGGAACAAAGTGATGATCAGGGGTGGGGTGGGAGACAGCAGAGGAGCAAGGCCTATAAAACCACATAAAACCAGGAATCTCGAGTTTACCACATGTACTCATCCAAGCTCAGGCATTCTAAACAAAGTTCACTGATGAGACCTTATATGATGAATAAGCTGCACTTGAAAATTCTCTGACTTCACCTTTAAGGTTTAAATTGTTGTACCCATTAATTTTTTAAATAATAGCTTTATTGAACTGTATGGTATCATTTATATGTGGAATCTAAAACATACAACAAACTAGTGAATATAACAAAAAAAAGAAGCAGACTCACAGATACAGAGAACAAACTAGTGGTTACCAAGGTGCGGGGGGGCCACACAGGGGTCGGGGGGTGGCAGGCACAAACTACTGGGTGTAAGATGGGCCCAAGGATGTACCCATGTACCCAACATGGGGAATATAGCCAATATTTTGTAATAACTGTAAATGGAAAGTAACTTTTAAAATTGTATAAATTTTTTTGAAGTTAAAATAAACAGACTCTTGGGAGAGCAGCGGGGAGGAAGACTGAGTGAGGCATTGAGGGGAACCCTAGAAACGGAGGCAGAGGATGGAGGTTCAGAAGAGGGAGAGGAGGAGACAGAGGGAGACTGCAGGAGTTAAGCCCCGAGGAGGGCTATGTTCCACTTCGCTTGGAAGAAGACCCAGGAGGACCACGGGTGAGCTCACAGCACACCCGAGGACTGTCAGAAATGAAGGGGCTGCTGCATGGTGACCGCCCGGACCTCACCAAAACCCAGTACAGATGACAACGGTCACTGTCACGCCTGACAGTTATTTCTCTGTTTGCTTCCTGACAAGCCTGTGACAACTTGAGGGTAGTGAGTAGCTATTCTATTTTAAATGTTCATTAAACTGAATTCACTGAATTTTTTCCCTTTTCTCCCTCAAAATGTAGAATGTCACATGGTATTTAAAAAAAAAAAGGTTTATTGACACATAATTCACATACCCTACAATTTACCCATTTCAAGTATAAAACTCAATGGTTTTTAGTGTATTCAGAGTCGTACACACTCATTTATTTTTAATACATAGTTTTGACTGCTTAATCGTATAAACGATTCTGGACGCAGTCTTCGCGGAGGGTCGCCGCGGTTTCCTGCTTCAGCAGTGCTTGGACGGAACCCGGCGCTCGACCCCCGCTCCGGCCGGCCGCTAAGCGCCAGCCCTCGCCACCACCTCACTGCGCCCTCCGGCCGCCCCAAGGTCCCCGCCGCCGCCTTTCCTCCGCCGCCCGCCATCCGCCATGATGACTGCGTCCCCCTCGCAGGTGCGCCAGAACTACCACCAGGGCTCGGAGGCCGCCATCAGCCGCCAGATCGACCTGGAGCTCTACGCCTCCTACGTCTACCTGTCCGTGTCATACTATTTTGACCGCGATGATGTGGCTTTGAAGAACTTTGCCAAATACTTTCTTCACCAGTCTCGTGAGGAGAGGGAACATGCTGAGAAACTGATGAAGCTGCAGAACCAACGGGGTGGTGGAATCTTCCTTCAGGAGATCAAGAAACCAGACCGTGATGACTGGCAGAATGGGCTGAATGCAATGGAATGTGCGCTACACTTGGAAAAGAGTGTGAATCCGTCACTACCGGAACTGCACAAACTGGCCACTGGCAAAAAATGACCCCCATTTGTGTGACTTCATTGAGACTCATTACCTGAATGAGGAGGTGAAATCCATTAAAGAATTGGGTGACCACGTAACCAACTTGCGCAAGATGGGGGCCCCCGAATCTGGCATGGCAGAGTATCTCTTTGACAAGCACACCCTGGGAAACAGTGATAATGAGAGCTAAGCCTTAGGCTGGCTTCCTGTAGCCACGGGGTTGACTTCCCTGCATCAAGGCAGTGCATGCATGTTTGGGTTACCTTTACCTTTTCTGTAAGTTGTACCAAAACATCTACAAGTTCTTTCCTTAGTACCATTGTTTCAAATAAAGTAATTTGGTACCCCCCCAAATAATAATAATATAAACTATTCTGTTTTTCATTTGAAAATCTAGAGTAGTGGTTCTCAACCCATTCAAGTTCCAAAAAACCTTTGGACCTTTCAATGCCCTAGCCTACTGAATTAAAGTCTATGGAGGAAGCAGAAACTAACACAGCAATTAACTAACACAGTAAAGCAATTATACTCCAATAAAAATGTTAAAAAAAAAATAAGATAAAATAAAATCTATGGAGGTAGACCTTAGGTATTGATATTATTAAAAAACTCTCCAGGCTACTTCACAGTGCAGTTGGGGGTTGAGAACTACTGATCTAGAGCATTAACACCTGTTTTGGGGGTACAATTCTGATGATTATGCTGACCTTATTTAATTGGGTAAATATAAGACACTGGGATTGGGAAAAGAGGGCCAATCTTTGGGCCCCAGCACAATCCATTATTTTCAGCCCTAGACTTCCCAGGAAATTCTCAAACTAAAATTCTAATATTTTTTCCAGCTTCTCAGTAATATTATATTATAAAATTCTTTATAATGATGGTTTTGGTGTATGGGACTAATCAATGGTTCATAAGGCAAAAAAAAAAATTGTTTTTCAGGTTATACAAGTATGATACAACTTTAATAATTCAAACAACATAAAAGTAGCCTGCAATTGCACTTGTTGTTAGGGATGGAGTAAAAGCCGGGGGTGTCTTTGGCACAAATTACTCAGGAATAAAAGGCAATGCCCACTTCAGCAGCTAAGATATGCGTGTGCATCTCCACCCAATTCCTCCTCTCCTCCCTCTGTCCCTCTTCCAGGCTAAGACCAATCCCTCCACTTGTGTTTTGGATCCCATCCACTGGGATCACAGATCCCAGAAACTGTCCAAGGTTGATTATTCCTTCTTCCTTTTGCATTTTCAACACCTCCCTCTAAGTCAGGTCCCTTCCATTAACTTTTTTAGATGTTCAGGTCTCTCTCATTATTATAAGAAATGCCACTACTCAACTCTTTACCTTCCTCTTTCTACCACTCCCCTCCCCTCCTCTTCACAGCAAAACATCTTAAAAGAGCTGTCTAGACTCAGTTTATCCATGGTTCACCTTCCATTCAACCCTCAGCCCTCTGCAAGCTGCCAGTACCATCACACCCCTAAGTGTCTCTCTCCAAGGGCACCAATTATTTCCATGTACCTAAATCTGACTCACATCTTTAGCTCTTGTCTTGATGCTTGTAGAACTCATTGTTGGCTGTCTACCCAGATTTTATTTCTCCATTATTCCTTTACAGCCAAACTCCAATTTTATTCAGGTTTCTAGTCTCTCCTTATGTGTTTCAGGGAAGGATGACCTCAACTTCAAGGGAAGATAGCCTCTGGGCCAGTCAGAGCATTGCTTTCTCCTGGTGACTGCCATTGGTCCAGGGTGTGCATATGAACCTATGACTGGGAAGAGAAGACCCCCCCCCCTTTACGCTTGCTCTCTCCTATCTAAAATACATTTCTTAAATGTTTAATCTAATTTTAGAGGGCATTTTCTCTTAATCCCAGCCTAAACCATCCAACTGATACATTTAACCCTACTGGCTATTCCTCTCCTTGAAATCCTCTTCCTTAGGCTTCCATGACACTTACTGCCCTCACCTGCCCTGGTTTTCCTTCTACTGCTCTGGCTACTACATCACAATCTGCGAAGTGGCAGGGACACTGGCTTTTTCAGACCATGGGGATATTGTTGAGTGTAATTACGTATATTAAAGATAACTTTCTTTAAGTAGTTCCCTAATGGTAAAAAATTTAATAAAGCTAAGAGGAAGAAAAGGCTCATTAACTAATAATAAATAACAATAAATCTCATTGTTACACCAAGATGAATACAATCTATGTTTTCTACTTCGTGTCTTTTAAAATGATAGACTGCTGGTGATTACCGGTGTATCATGAAGAACAAAGACGCTAATGTTAGGACTTTCCTTGTGGTCCAGTGGTTAAGAATCCGCCTTCCAATGCAGGGGACACAGGTTCGATCCCTGGTGGGGGAACTAAGATCCCACATGCCGTGGGGCAACTAAGCCCCGGCGCCACAACTACTGAGCCCACGCACTCTGGAGCCTACGTGCCACAACTAGAGAGAAGCCTGCACGCTGCAACTAAAGATCCTGCATGCTGCAACTAAGACCCGATGAAGCTAAAAATTAATTAATTAATTAATTTTTAAAAAAGGACTCTAATGTCAAAGTAAGTCTATGCTGCAAGTCCTGTTTCTGCTGCTGTGGGGCCAGTTACTTGGTAGGAGGGCTCTGGGGGCTCCAATGTTTCCAGTAAGACCCTTTAGCGGCTGCAGAGCTGTGTCACCCTGGGCTCCTCTGGGCCTTCCAGAACAACCCAGAAGAGAGTGGGTATTGCAGGGTAGGCTTTGAGTGGGCTGCCCAGGATGCTCTCTAAGAAAGGCTGAGGTAGCATTCTCTGTTACTGCATGGAAAAGCCAGCCCATCAAGTATAATTAGTGGGCTAATCACACTCAAGGGTTAAAAAAGAAGAACATGATTCTGCGTTCCTTTCTTATAGCTATTTGGTCAAAGGTATGAAGCAGGTCTTATTTGTTTCTATTTCTCTCATCACAAAGCATAGCACTCTGTAAACAATTAAACACTAAGCATTTGTTGATTTAATGAATTAAGAGAAACTGATAACGTATATGTCCTCCAGGAGTTTAATATGCCCATAAGAATAAGTCATTTAGAGGAAGAAATGCAGGGGCTTAAGACATGCATTTAGAAAGGATTCCAGTTCAAGTTCCAGCCACACTAACCCAAATTCCTGTATCTTGAAAATGGAGGTAATAAAACTTGCCTTACAGAGTTGTGTGTTAGGGTTAGATGACACATGTATCTCATTTATGACTTATAACAACCCCAACATGTACTTATTATTCTTTTTGTTTCTGTCTTTCCTACTTCAAAGGAAGGGGCTACACCTACCTTATTTATTTTAGTATAGTCAGTAAAAGCAGAGTATATACTCAATTAATATCTGTTGAGTAGAGGAACAAAAAGGGATTCAAGAGAATTTCTATGAAATTGAGAACAACATGGTTAAAGCAAACTTTTTTCATATATGCTAACACTCTAAATACTTAAAAATGCCCATTTTTCTTCTCCTCTTGCCCATTCTCTGCATATTTTAAAATGCAACTCCTACCTATATCTTCTACTTCTTAGTCTTCATATCACCAAGCTACAGAAATATAAAGTATCTTCATGAAATTCATGTATGATTTAAAAACTTTAACAGCTTGGGTAATTGTTATGATGAAATTAAACTTTTAAAAGCATACTTATTAAAATTCAAACAACTACACACACTAAAGTGTATGTATTTTCCTATTTTCAATTCCTGTGACAAATGGAAAATGGTTTTATGTACCTGAGGGTGTTAACTGCATTCTCTGCCTGGTCATCTTAAAGTTATATTTGCTAGAAGGAAAAAGTTCTTGTGTACCAAAAGGATTACTGATCAATTCTACTCTAAGTATAATCTAATAAAGGCTTAAAACTAAACACACATTATAAAGATAATGTATGGCATTCACTAGTCAAATCTTACAAGGAGTCACTGAAATTCTTCTAAATGCGTAAACTATAACCAAACACATAAGAGACAAAAAAAAGCTCAACTGATTTCTTTTTGTCAACTTCCTGACTTTCTTTAGACCATAAACACCTGAATATGTAGTACGATGTGCCTCAAATATAGTTTTAAATAAACCTTTCTGAATCTCCCAATAGTTTAACAGAGGGTGATAACATGCATCTGAAGGACATGCTGGCTTATGTATGTATGTGTACATACATGTATGTATACACTAAGCATATACATCACGTTAACATGTAACAGACTACGTGCCTACACGCATGAGTACATGCATGCACGCACGCACACACACACACAAACAAATTTTAAAGAAATTCTGGTTCTCATCAAAGCAGTTTACTTTCAGCCAGTTTAATATTTCTGGCACAGCTCTAAATACACAGTGATTCATAAGTACATCAATTGATCTGAATTGTGGAAATGAAAGTATTACCAAGGTAATATTAAGATAGAGCTGTGAATGAGAACAAAAAGTTCAAAGTTACCAAAAAATATGTTCTTTTGTCCATTTAAAAATATAAGGAACCAGGTGGTCCTTATTCTCCCTCTCCTCAAGCCATCTGTATTTAAACAACTGTGAGCCAAGGACTGAATAGATCTTGGTTTCCTGTAGTATGAAGTTTAGCTGCCAGACACCAAAGAAACAACACGAAACTAAAAAGTGTTAAAAAGCCACGTTGCACTCTTTGTTTTGGGAAGCATATCTCTCAGGATCCTTGAAGAAGATTATGGTGACCCCATATGCCAGCGATGAGTGTGCTGGCTTGACCCCTGGGACTCCACACAGGAACACAGAGCATCCAGACTTTCCAACTGAGGACTTCCCCATCCCAGAAAGCACATTCTGCGGCCAAGACAAAAACCAGCCCCACAGTCCTTAATGTGGCGACCAACCACTCCATAGAGAAAATGGATAGGAGACTGACAAGTGAGAAAGTGAGAAACCACACTGCTGATGTGGTGGCTTTGGTCAAAATCCAAGGTGGGATCTAGGCATTGGTGTCATTGCTTGAATCATCATTGTGGTTGTGAGGAAAATATAGAGTAGGTCCTAAAAAGTTGAAGAATTGTGCTACTTTGACAACATTGAAAAATCTGTCCTTGTGCCAGTGTTAGAATATGACCCATGGAAATGTTGCCCAGGCAGTTCTAAAGCCATGGAGATCCCTAACTTTCCAAAAGCAATGGAAAGGAATATAAATCAAAAGACATTCTGCTCTCAAAACATTTTCTCTTTTTGTATAAATTCTGTAAAACTAGGTTTATAAAATAAAATACATAGAAAACAGGAGCAAAACTAAGTAAACCAACTTGCAATCAAGATATTCAAAGTAACTAAAACCATATTAGAAACTGTAACTGTGTCTTCATTTTGACTACTTTCTGTTCTTGTTAAAATGAAAAGCAATCTGGAAATATCTATACATAACCATATACACAAATGTACATATATGAAACCATACTTCCAAATTCATATAGACAAGCCACAAGAGGGCGCTTCGACAATGGAAAGAGACCATGAGGCTTATTTCCTTTAGATGCTTAGTTCAGTACCTACTGGGCAACACATTTTCAAACTTTGGAAGAGAGACTCCTATTCCAAATTCTCTTTACTTTGCTACAGCTATAAGCTTTGCCAGATGCTCATATTTTTAAGGGTGTCTATCCATGTTCCAAATCTTAACCAGAGGGTCAATGCACCTAGTATTTAGTAAATGAGTCCTTACACTATAAAGATTTAAATAATGAACAGTAAAACACCATGTTGTACAGAGTGTTGTAAATGTGTTCAGAGCCATGTAAAAAGCTCATGAAAACTCTGCTACCGCAACAGAGAAACCCAGTTTCTTTCCATCGTGATCACTTTAAGGTGCCTTATTTCAGAACATTTTTAAGTCTGGCATACAGGATAATGGTTCTTACTTTAAAACAAAGTATAACAGTTCCATTTAATTACTATTAGAAGTGAAATGCTAGGATCTGTACCTAGAGAGACTTCCTTGATCAGCTCAGCAGCAGCATGGCAACCCTGAACAAGTATCCGGGTCCAGGTCGATAGATCCCGATGCGTCTCCACCCGGAAGAGATGCATCTCAATGCCCTGCCGAGAGCCTGTCCTGGTAGCAAACGTAAGGTCAGATCCAAGTGAGGGTGATCGACATCCGGAGCCAGAATGAACCAACCTAGAACCACAAAGATCAAAGGCAATTAATGCACTGTCAGAGGAAAATGTCAGCAATTTATGCTGATTAATAAGCAGAAATTATAAAAGCCATCAGCAGTTTTTTGTTTTGGTTTTTTTGGTTTTTTTGCGGTGCACGGGCCTCTCACTGTTGTGGCCTCTCCCCTTGCGGAGCACAGGCTCCGCGGCCATGGCTCACGGGCCTAGCCGCTCTGTGGCATGTAGGATCTTCCCGGACTGGGGCACGAACCCGTGTCCCCTGCATCGGCAGGCGGACCCTCAACCACTGCTCCACCAGGGAAGCCCCATCAGCAGTTTTTAGATAAGTATATTTCAAAACAAGATTATAGTCTTTGAAGTAGATACCATTCTGTTTTCCCATAAAATGACCCCTGGTGTCACAGGCAGAACACTAGGCTGGATGGCCCAAGGCTCCAGTTTCCCATTAGCTTTTTTTAATGCTCCTAAGAGGCCATGCGTATCAAAAAAAGATTCAATTTTGATTAAGGGCTTCCCTGGTGGCGCAGTGGTTGAGAGTCCGCCTGCCGATGCAGCGGACACGGGTTCGTGCCCCGGTCCGGGAAGATCCCACATACCGCGAAGCGGCTGGGCCCGTGAGCCATGGCCGCTGAGCCTGTGCGTCCGGAGCCTGTGCTCCGCAACGAGAGATGCCACAAGAGTGAGAAGCCCGCGTATCGCAAAAAAAAAAGAATAAAGCTGAGTATACCAGAAACTAACACACTGCAAATCAACCATACATCAATTAAAAAAAAAAAAAAGAATAAAGTATCTATAAACATCTTTGTATAGGTTTTTTTAAAATAAATTTTCCAACTCCTTTGGGTAAACCAAGGAGTGGAATTTCTGGGCTGTATGGTAAGAAAATGTTTGTAAGAGACCACCAAACTCTGTCAAACTGGCTGTACCATTTTGCATTCCCACCAGCATTGTATGAGAGGTCCTGTTGCTCCATATCCTCACCAGTGTTTGGTGTTGTCAGTGTACCGGATACTGGCTATTCTAATAAGTGTGTGGTGGTATCTCGTTGTTTTAATTTGCATTTCCCTGATGATATGTGATGTGAAACATATTTTCATATTTTTATTTGCGATCTGTATATTTTCTTTGGTGGGGCATCTATTCATGTTGTCCTTGGCCCATTTTTTGTTTGTTTGTTTGTTTGTTTTTTAACATCTTTATTGGGGTATAATTGCTTTACAATGGTGTGTTAGTTTCTGCTTTATAACAGAGTGAATCAGTTATACATATACATATGTTCCCATATCTCTTCCCTCTTCGTCTCCCTTCCTCCCACCCTCCCTATCCCACCCCTCCACGCAGCCACAGAGAACCGAGCCGGTATCCCTGTGCCATGCGGCTGCTTCCCACTGGCTATCTACCTTACGTTTGTCAGTGTATATATGTCCATGTCTCTCTCTCGCCCTATCATAGCTCACCCTTCCCCCTCCCCATATCCTCAAGTCCGTTCTCCAGTAGATCTGTGTCTTTATTCCTGTTTTACCCCTACGTTCTTCATAACATTTTTTTTTCTTAAATTCCATAAATATGTGTTAGCATACGGTATTTGTCTTTCTCTTTCTGACTTACTTCACTCTGTATGACAGACTCTAGGTCTATCCACCTCATTACAAATAGCTCAATTTCGTTTCTTTTTATGGCTGAGTAATATTCCATTGTATATATGTGCCACATCTTCTTTATCCATTCATCCGACGATGGGCACTTAGGTTGTTTCCATCTCTGGGCTATTGTAAATAGAGCTGAAGTGAATATTTTGGTACATGACTCTTTTTGAATTTTCGTTTTCTCAGGGTATATGCCCAGTAGTGGGATTGCTGGGTCGTATGGTAGTTCTATTTGTAGTTTTTTAAGGAACCTTCATACTGTTCTCCATAGTGGCTGAACCAATTCACATTACCACCAGCAATGCAAGAGTGATCCCTTTTCTCCACACCTTCTCCAGCATTTATTGTTTCTAGATTTTTTGATGATGGTGTGAGATGATATCTCATTGTAGTTTTGATTTCATTTCTCTAATGATTAATGATGTTGAGCATTCTTTCATGTGTTTGTTGGCAGTCTGTATATCTTCTTTGGAGAAATGTCTATTTAGGTCTTCTGACCATTTTTGGATTGAGTTGTTAATTTTTTTGTTATTGAGCTGCATGAGCTGCTTGGCCCATTTTTTAATGAAGTTGTTTGTTTTCATTCTTTTATTTTTCTTTGGCCTGTGCCGCATGGCTTGCAGGATCTTAGTTCCCTGACCAGGGATCGAACCCATGCACCCTGCAGTGGAAACATGGAGTCCTAACCACTGGACGGCCAGGGAATTCCCAAGTTGTTTGTTTTCCTACTGTTGAGCTTCAATAGCTCTTTGTATTATTTTGGATAACAGTCATTTATCTGATGTGCCTTTCGTGAATATTTTTTCCTAGTCTGTGCCTTCTCTTCTAATTCTTTGACACTGTCTTTCACAGAGCAGAAATTTTTAGTTTTAATGAAGTCCAGCTTATTAATTATTTCTTTCATAAATCATGTCTTTGGTGTTGTATCTAAAAAAAGCCATTATAATACCCAAGGTCATCTAGGTTTTCTCCTGTTACCATCTAGGAGTTTTACAGTTTTGCAATTTACACTTAGGTCTATGATCCATTTTGAGTTAATTCTGGTGAAGGGCAAAATTTTTTACATGTGGATATCTAGTTGTTCCAGCATGATTCGTTGAAAAAGACTATATTTGTTCCATTGTAGTGCCTTTGCTCCTTTGTCAAAGATTAGTTGATGATATTTACAGGGGTCTATTTCTGAGCTCTCTATTCTGTTTCACTGATCTATATATTTGTCTGTTCTTTCATCAACACTACACTGTCTTGATTACTGCAGCTTTATAGTAAGTCACGAAGTTGGGTAACATCAGTCCTCCAACTTTGTTCTTCAATTTTGTGTTTGTTCAATTTTGTGTTGTTCTTCAGTTTTGTGTGTCTGGGCCTTCTGCCTCTCCATATAAACTTTAGCATCAGTTTGTCAATATCCATACAATAACTTTGCTAAAATTCTGACTGGGATTGCATTGAATCTATAGATCAATTTGGGAAAAACTGATGTCTTGAAAATATTGTCTTCCTATCCATTAACATGGAATATCTATTTATTTACTTCTTCTTTGATTTTGTTCATCAGAGTTTTGGAGTTTTCCTCATATAGATCTTGAACACATTTTGTTAGATTTATATTTAAGTATTTCATTTTGGGGGGTGCTAATGTAAATGGCATTGTGTTTTTAATTTCAAATTCCACTTGTTCATTGTTAGTATATAGGAAAGCAATTGACTTTTGTCCACTGATCTTGTATTCTGCAACCATGCTATAAGAGCTTATTAGTTCCAGGAGTTTTTTGCCAATTCTTTTCAATTTTCTACATAGGTGATCATGTCTTCTGAGAACAAAGATAGTTTTATGTCTTCCTTTTCAATCTGTATACCTTTTACTTCCTTTTCTTGCCTTACTGCATTAGCAAGGACTTCCAGTATGATGTTGAAAGGAGTGGCAAGAGGGGAACATCCTTGCCTTGGGCCTGATCTTAGTGGAAAAGCTTTGTGTTTCTCATCATTAAGTATGATGTTAGTTGTAGATTTTTTGCAGGCAGTCATTATCAAGTTGAGACTGTTCCCATTTATTCTTAGTTTACTGAAAGTTTTAATCATGAATGGGTGTTGCATTTTGTCAAATGCTTTTCCTGTATCTCCTGATACGATAACAATTTTTCTTCTTCAGCTTGTTGACGTGATGGGTTACATAAATTCATTTTCTTTTCTTTTCTTTTTTTTGTGGCAGGGTGGTCACACCATGCAGCATGTGGGATCTTATTTCCCTGACCAGGGATTGAACCTGTGCCCCTTGCAGTGGAAGTGTGGAGTCTTAACCACTGGACCACCAGGGAAGTCCCTACACAAATTGATTTTCAAATGTTGAACCAGCCTTGCATATCTAAAATAAATCCCATTTGGTTGTGATGTATAATTCTTTTTATACTTTTTTGGATTAGATTTGATAGTATCGTTTTGAGGATTTTTACATCTATGTTCATGAGAGATATTGGTCTGTATTTTTCTTATAATATCTTTGTCTGGTTTTGGTATTAGCATAATGCTAGTCTCATAGAATGAGTTAGGAAGTATTCCCTCTGCTTCAGTCCTTTGAAAGAGACTGTAGGGAATTTCTTCCTTAAATGTTTGGTAGAATTCACCAGTGCACTCATCTGGGTCTGGTGCTTTCTGTTTTGGAAGACCTTACACTCTTCCCAAAAATTAACTCAAAATAGATCTTAGAGCTAAACGTAAAATGTAATAGTGTAAAACTTCAAGAAGACATTTTAACAGAAAATCTAAGTAATCTAAAAAGATACAACACCAAAAGCATGACCCACAAAAGAAAAAAAAAGATTAAGTTGGACTTCATTAATTAAAAACATTTGCTCTTTGAAAAACACTGTTAAGAGAATGAAAAGACAAGTCACAAAGTAGAAGAAAATTTATGAAAACATATACCTGGTAAAGGACTGTATCCAAAATACACAAAGAACTTTTTTTTTTAAGAGATCACTTTTTAAAAAAATCAATTAATTATATTTCTGGCTGCATTGGATCTTTGTTGCTGTGCACATGGGCTTTCTCTAGTTGTGGTGAGCGGGGGCCACTCTTCGTTGCAGTGTGTGGGCTTCTCATTGTGAAGGCTTCTCTTGTTGCGGAGCACAAGCTCTAGGCATGCGGGCTTCAGTAGTTGTGGCACAAGGGCTCAGTAGTCGTGGCTTGTGGGCTCTAGAGCGCAGGCTTAGTAGTTGTGGCGTACGCACTTAGTTGCTCTGCAGCATGTGGGATCTTCCCAGACCAGGGATCGAACCTGTGTCCCCTGCACTGGCAGGCAGATTCTTTACCACTGCACCACCACGGAAGTCCCGACAAAGAACTCTTAAAACTCTAC